AACAAACCCAGGGACAAGAGAACAAGTGACCTAAAATCGATGGCGAGTAGGGTGTAGTATGCCTGGTGGGGCTTGATCAAGAGCAATGTAACCGAGAGGAATTACTGAAACCTGAATGAAGGCCGAACATGATAGTGGGACAAGAGGAAAGTAAAAGGAAATAGAGGAAAGAACTAGGAGGTCAGGGCATTTGTAGAGGTCTAAATACAGGCATGTAATATGTAAATATATTTATACATAATGATAGGGAAATAGATCTATGTACATATATTGATGTTAAGTATTAAAGTAACAGATGAACATTGGGCCTCTACTCAAGTACTCCCTCAACGCAAGAACAATTTGCTCTAATAACTGGGCATTCTGTGATGCTGCTGACCTTCCCAACACGATTGCTGAAGACAAAGCAGGTGTATAATCAAATGTGGTGAAGAAAGCTGATGGTGCCCGGCTATCAAAAGATAGCACCTGGGTCTTAAAGGGTGAAGACAAACAAAGTGGCCATCTAGCTGGGAAGCAACAGAGTTCACATGGAAGATGCCACCAGCCTTGTGTGAACATGAAGTGTAGATGGGATCAGGTATTAGGCATCAAAGACCCAAAACAAAAAAATCAAATCAATGTGAATGAGGGGGAGTGCGAAGTGGAGACCCAAAGCTCATCCGTAGACAATTGGACGCCCCCTTCCAGAAGGATCACAAGGAAGAGACAAGCCAGCCAGAGTGCAGTATAGCACTGATGAAACATACAACTTTCCTCTAATTCTTTAATGCTTCCTCCCTCCACTATCATGACCCCAATTCTACCTTACAAATACGGCTAGACCAGAGCATGTATACTGGTACAGATAGGAGTTTGCAACACAGGGAATCCAGGACAGATAAACCCCTCAGGACTAATAATGAGAGTAGTGATACCAGAAGGTAAGGAGAAGGTTGGGGGACAAAGGGGGAAGCTATCACAATGATCCCCCAGGGGGACTGACAACAGAAAAGTGGGTGAAGGGAGACCGTGGTTGGTGTTAGACATGAAAAAAAATTATAAATTATCAAGGGTTCATGATGGAGGGTGGGGCAGGGAGAAAATAAGGAGCTGATATCAAGGGCTCAAGTAGAAAGAAAATGATGTTGACAGCGTATGTACAAATGTGCTTGACATAATGGATGTATGTATGGATTGTGTTGAGCTGTAAGAGCCCCCCATAAAATGATTTTTAAAAGTTTTATAATTTTGCCTCTCGTATGTTCTACTACATTCATGGTTATATATGCAACAAAGGCAAATAGACATATACAGATAACTTCTGGTCAAATCTATATATATTAACAGATATACCCCTAACTCTCTCCCCACTCCCATACCTGTTTAACCTATGTGCCTATACAAACATCTACTTGTAGATCACTCTTATTGCATGATTGAGTATATAACAGTATTTGCTTCTATTGCCTTTAACTCTTATAAACCTCCCAGTGTCTTCTGCTCCAAGTATTTTTGGTCCACATCCCTCAAGATGTAGCTTTCTACTCTATAGAATTACACCCTGAGAAACTCACAGGGGAGTTGGCATTGACTTCATGGCAGGGAGTGGTAATCCCTTTTATTGTATACTCCCTTCCTCTTTTCCTAAATTCACAGTTATCTCTCCTCTAGCCAATGATTTCGCCTCTTCTTCCCCTTCCACTCCTGGTAATCATGAAAGAATGTTCTTTTAGTATGCAAATGTTTTCTTAACTTTTTATGGTAGTGATTTCATGCAATATTTGTCCTTTTGTGATTGACTCATTTCATTCAGCATAATGTCCTCCAGGTTCAACCACATTATGAGGTGTTTCACAGATTCATCCTTATTCTTTAATGTTGTGTAGTATTTCATTGTATGTGTGTACCACTGATAAACATTTAGATTGTAGCCATCTTTTGCTATTGTGAGTAATGCTGCCTCGAGCTGGGTGTACATATATTCTTCGTGCATGGCTCTTCTTCCACTAGTACATGTATAGATCATATGAGATTTCTATTCCCAACTCTTTGAAGATGTAAAAGACCACTTTATAGAGTGGTTGCATCTAAACTACTAATGTCTTTGGGGCATTGGTTCCATAAATTTTTGGTAAAACATCAATGATTTTATCTTCTGACCAAAGTTTCACCATAAATTTTCTGTTTGTTCTTGCTTTAATTTTAAAAGAATTCATGTTTTTCTAACAGGGACTCTTTTCAAACTTATATCTTATCCTTCTTAGTGCCTCAAAATAGATCCCATTCAGAAATGTTGTAATTTAGACAGTTAGTAGGAGTTTATTTTGGTACAAAAATTTTTTTGAAGTCCATGTAGTTTTGTTATAATATGCCTTTTCCACGAAACCACCAACAACCCATGAAACTTTTGACCTACTTGTAGTTGTCAGGAATATAGAAATTGAGGAAAAAATGACTAAAATGATATATCATAACTTATTTGACTATACTTGTTAAAACGTATCACAAAACACACAGATATGTGAAAACTATAGTATGATGTTAAAATGCATCACACAAGTGCACAGAGAAGTGTAAACTACGTTTTACAATGGTCTTCAGAAAGACAAATGATTTTAGCTTCATATTTCAGTATTATTATTCACACATCAGGATAAGCCTCACCACGATAAAACAACAGTAAAATGTCATTTAGAATTAATAACAGAGCTCTATAAATGATAATTTCTCTACGAATAAAAGTAAAGTCTTTGGGTGGTGCAAATGCTTCATACAATTATCTGCTAACCAAAAGGTTGGAGGATTCACGTCCATCCAGAGAGGTATCTTGGATGAAAGGCATAACAATTCAGCAATGAAAACCGTATCGAACACAGTTCCACTCTGGGATCATGGGGTCACCATGAATAAGAAGCCAACGGACGGCAACTGGTTACTGGTGAAAGCACTAAAAAACCCAGCTTCATATTATGAGAAAAGGAGTTAATCAGTAACTGTAATCACAATAATTTCAGAGTCTAAGAATTAAAGTAATATAATTAAAGAAGATGCTAGATTCTTGTTTCATATGGTAATCCAAAAATTCTTCTATAAAAAAAAAGGCAAGAGAGAACAGATCTATTTTGACTGATATATATTGCCTTTGAAAGGTAAAGCCCCACGGGATGATGATCCATTTAACTACAATGCTGAGAAGCTACTAGCACTACTTCTATCAAAAGCAGCCTAACATTTCATGAGAATTCTTAAACAAGATGACTTAAGCATTCAAAAACATATTCAGTATCAAAATTTTATGTAATATTTGTGAAGATACAGTAAAAGAAAAGAGGTTGACACTATATAGACTTCAAGAGCCACATCTTGAGATGTTACAGAGTTTGGTATAGGAACTATTTCATAGAAAACAAATGGTGAAAACATTTACCATCTAAAAGAAATAAATGATAACTTTAATCTTATGGTATATAATTTCTGTTGTCAATAGTCTATTGGATCATTAGGTTAGAAGTGAAATTAAAGAAATAAACATGAAAATATCTAATGATAATATTCAATTCAATCAAATACAGCCATTATTTTTCCATGAGATACAGATGTTTCTAAATATTTGTATATATAAGTATACAGCATTTTTCCACAAAAGCTTTTTAGTTTTACATTTTAATTATAAATTATTTCATGGAACAATGGCTACATTTTCAATTTAAGAAGTTAATTTTATTGGAATTAACTTTGGAAATGTGGTATACCTTTTTAGAAATCTGTTCTAAAATTCTAATTGTAGAAAATAACGAAGTTAAATACTGAGGTGATCATTTTCCTTGGTTATGAAACTAATGATTGATTCACACTGAAAGGTAGCTCTCAATCTTCAAAGCAAGAAACTTGATTCCAACAATATTCTGATTCCTATTAGTGTAATAATTGATATCATATATATGGTCCATCATTTTACCTCATGAATATCTGAATATGTAAGGAACAGCTGCTTGCCATTACTGAACTAAAACCTTCTGGTTGGTGGAAATTAATGATCTATGCCATCTGGTTTGAAACACAAAGCAGTATTTCATAACTACTGTAAAGCTCCGTTAGGAAATCTATTTAATTTTAAAAATATAGCAGCAATTTTCCATGATTCAAGTAACTATTCAAATATAAAAACATATTTCCTACTAGCTTAAAAATAATAGTGTTTATAGGAAATATTTGTTCAATCCACAGTTCTGGAAACACATGAATAAATACATAGTAGGGAAAAAGAATAAGGTGAGCATTAATAATATATAGTAATTACTTTAATCCTTTCTATTTCAAAACTGCTATAGATTTTGATTGAAATCCTTTCCTTCCTTTCCTCAATTAAGTGGCTTCAATAAAACAATGTTAATACTGGCAACACTGCAACACATTAAAAATAAGAATATTTTAAAAATTACCAACCTTTGCGCCAAACTTATCTTTGGAGAAAGGCAGTATGGCAGAATAAACAAGGTTATATATGTAAAAATTATGTAAAAATTAGTCTTGAAACACTGGCAGAGTTAAGAAAAATTTTTTTCAATAGTCATCAAATCAAGTTTAGTGACAAAATCATGACAAGTTAAACACTAAGGATTAAATATATTAAAAAACAAAACACAAATTAATAAGGTATAAATGTCATACATGAAAATAGAAAACTAAATACTATGTTAAAAAATAAAAGCCAAAAATCTTCAAGATGTCAGTTTAAATGCTATGTTCTAGAAAGTAATACACTTCTAAGAGCAATTAATTTTCCTGGCTAAACCCTTTTTTATAGATATCACATCAAAGACTAAATTGGAAAAAAAATAATGGTGAGTTAATAGGTTTGCCTGGTATGTATAGATGTTACATCTGAAATCATTGCCAGAAGACCACTTATATACTGAAAGAGGTCCTTACAGAGTGTAAGAATGAGCAAGATTAGCAGACCAGAATTCTTATATAAAGCACACATTTGTTCATTTTAGCTGTGCTTATCATCTTACCTGAGTTATAGAAAAGGTCAGGTCTTTCGAGAATATCTCCTTCATGGATATATGGCTCAATTCGATCATCGCCATATAAGTACTGCTCACTCTCATCCATCTGACGACTCTCTACCATCTCCAGCCACTGAGAGTTATGCCAGCGAAACTTTTCACTCTGAATTTTCTTAGCCCATTCTTCATCATATTCCTATTAACAAATGTGGAAGTTTTATGTAAGCTCACAAAAGACATTACTTGTCACTTGGACAGATTTACTTTGACCTGATGGAAAGAGAATTTTTGGTGACCTACCCTTGGATCAGGGAACAGTGAAATATCTGTGGAGAATTATCTTATGCAAAAATTAATTAACAGTAATTAAATGCATAAATCTGTCTGGGTTACCAATCAATAATGACAGTGGAAAGCACTAGAAAAATTAAAAATCTACAAAAAGTGTATTTACATATTGCCAACATTTACATAATCAATCAGACTTCCAAGAATTCTTAAAGTTATAATTATTTGTGGAATTACTGACTGGCTGGAACTACTGGTTATCATTATAATCACATATTTTGCTCTATCTTTGTTTAAATAATATATCAATAGAATAAAAAGCATTATTAAAGTATTTCTCTTAGTTACTTCAATGGATTATATTTAAAACAAATAGCAAACTGAGTTAATTGTTGTTTTAACCATAAATAAAATGATTTTTATCTTATTAGGTATAATTATTTCTTTTATTGCTTTTATACTGCTTGGACCATAAAGTCCTGAGGAAAAACTATGTGGTTTGGTCTTAATAGTTTTTACAGAAATTCTTGGCAATTGTTTTTTGAAAGAGAAATAGGCAAATTAATATAAGCTGCAGCTGATCTTATCTCCCTTAGCTTTCCTTCTCTTCGAACCGTTAGCGCTCATAGGTGTAGCTATTTCTGACAGGTGAATACACTGAACCATCAATGGTCAGTGGACACGATGGCAAAGATGGAAAAAAGAGATGCAGATATTTGTCCTGTCCCTTAAAAAATATACTGCCTGAGATGTAGTCAATTAATATGGCCCTTCTAGCCATAAATCCTTATGTGATATATTATAATTCTAGACTCTGTTTGTGGCTATAATCGCATTTTGGAGGGTGTTCTCTACTATACTAATGGGCAGGATTAGGGTGGATTAAGACCTGAATTTAGCAGAGGGTGTCAACCAAGTCACACTCTTTGCTTCCTTGCGGGAATTGTTATGACTACTTTATAAGCGAGTGTGACATAAGGCACCATCCTTTGTTTTTGTTGGATGGGGTATAAATGCTGGTGCCACTGTGAAGTTTTGGCCCACATCTCCTGAAAAGCCGTACCTTTATTTCTGGAGTTTTAGTCATTTTTGGCTTTTGACTCTGGACCCTGCATTTTGTTTTGTCTCTGCCTGATTGAACAGCACCCACATCATGTGAGACATTTCCTTAAAATGTTGTGAGTGTCATGGGATGTTGTAGCAAACTTCAAAACCCCGGGCCATGAGGGAATATACTAAAGGGAGCAGTGAGGGGAAAATGGAGCAGAAAAGCATCTTGGAAGAGTTGGACATTTGGGACATCTTTAATCTCTTACACCTTGGGACTAGTCTAGTATTAATTCTTCTGAAATAAATTACTATACTGCCAATAAATAAATTCTGATTCATAGCAACCATGATGGTGTAGTGGATTATGAATTGGGCTGCTAACTGCAAGGTCGGCATTTCAAGCCTACCAATCCTTCAGCAGGAGAAAGATGGCTTTCTGCTTCTGTACAGATTTGTAGCTTCAGACACCCAAAGAAACGGTTCTACTCTGCTCTATAGAATTCTTTAACTTTCTCTGTCATATGCATCCAGAAGCACCTCTGAAGAAAGGCCTGGTGGCTCTACTTCTACAAAACAAAAAAACCAGCGTTGGAAAACCTTATGCAGCACAGTTCTATTCTGAGAAACATGGGGTCACCAAGAGCCGAAATCTACTCTAAGGAAACCAGGGTTTTGAACCAGTTTGAATCTCTGCTGACAATGTTAACTATTAAAAATAAATCGGTGGGGGAGTGGGCAACAGTGCTGCCCTCCAGTGGACAGGATGATCATCAGTAAGAGGTGAACCCAAAAGAATTTTAGTCCAGTGTAGAGAACTTTCCACCAAATCTGAAACAAAATATTTCTGAAAGAAAATAGCAAAAACAAAATATCAAAGAATGAACTTTTCATACATGAGAAACATAAATTTCAAAATAAATATAATTTTATTGTTCAAAATCTCCCAGATATAGAAGATGGATATTGGGCCTCTACTCAAGTATGCCTTCAATGCAAGAACACTTTTTTCTAATAACCCAGCATTCTGCGATGCTCGCCTTCCTGACACAATTGCTGAAGACAAAATGGGTGTAGACGCAAATGTGGTGATGGTGCCCAGCTATCAAAGGATATAGTGTCTGGGGTCTTAGACTTGAAGATAAATAAGCGGCCATCTAGTTGGGAAGCAACCCAGCCCACATGGAAGCACACCAGATGTGTGATGATGAGGTGTCGATGGGATCAGGTATCAGGCATCCAAAGACCCAGAACAAAAAGTCCTATCAGTGTGAATGAGGGGGAGTGCGGAGTGGAGACCAAAAGCCCATGTAGACAATTGGACATCCCCTCACAGAAAGGTCACAAGGAAAAGACGAGCCAGTCAGGGTACAGTATAGCACCGTTGAAACATACAACTTTCCTCTAGTTCTTTAATGCTTCCTTCCCCTATCATGACCCCAATTCTACCTTACAAATCTGGCTAAACCAGAACATGTACAATCGTACAGATAAGAGCTCACAACACAGGGAATCCAGGGTAGATAAACCCCTCAGGACCAATAATGAGAGTAGTAATACCAGGAGAGTAAGGGAAGGTGGGAGCAGCAAGGGGAAATCACAATAATCTACATATAACCCCATCCCAGGGAAATGGACAACAGAAAAGTGGGTGAAGGGAGACACAGGTCAGTGTAAGACATAGGAAAATATTTATAAATTATCAAGGGTTCACAAGGGAGGGAGGAAAATGAGCTGATACCAAGGGCTCAATTAGAAAGAAAATGATGATGGTAACATATGTACAAATGTGCTTGACACAATGTAAATATGGATTGTGATAAAAGCTGTACCAACCCCCAATAAAATGATTAAAAAAAATCAACCTGATAAATTTGAAAGCTTCACATAATCAATAAACTTCTTAGCAATGCCACCTATCAGCTTGTGGACTCTATATCTGTGAAAATATATGGATGTCCTTACAATTTATGTTGGCAGATGTAAAAAATATTCCTTTGACTGTGGCATGGCAAATGATGGCAATTTGGTTTGCCACCAAAGTAATGTTTTCCTTCTCCCCTAGTTCTTAATATTCCTATAGATTGTCAATTTATATCCTAATATAGTTACTTAACATTGTTTTTATACAACTAAGAGCCATCATAAACACTATTATATTTTACTTCATAAATCAGAAATATTTATTATTCAACTGATCATTTCAATACTTAAATCACTGAAGGAGATTGTTTATTTCAAGTTACATGAAGAACATTACCTTTGACACTGATTATTTCTATCTCAGCAATAAACCTGAATATCCATATACTTGTTGCTAATATTCATCTGGTCACAGTAATAAGTATGATGATAATATATACAATCTTTCAATCACTAATCCCACATAATGATTTAAGATAAAATAAGATAGTTCATGTATTTAGAAAACTTACATTAAGAACACTTATTAAGTGCTAGCCATTACTGTTATTAATAACTGTCCGGGTCAGGTATTATAATTGCTGTACTATTGCAGAAATGAAAAAATGAGGCCTAGGAAACTAAAGTGACTTATTTAATTGTACACAGCTGATTGTGGCTATTACAACACTGTAAATTCTGAATAAACACTATGGAAAAAGCAGTTGTCAAGCTTTATTTAATCTTTGTATTATATTTTAATGAGAATATAATAAGTGCTCTCCAAGGTCAACTTTCTACTCTAAAATTCTGAAAATTTGTTTAGCATCGATCAAAGTGATATGGGAGTGTGACAGTGAGGTTTATTATGCCAACCTGGCTAATAAACACATGTGAGATTAATTGAAGGGCAGAGAGATAAATGGCTCAATGAGCCTTGCACTTTTTGTCTCTTGCTCTCTGATAGTTGGACCAGTTGTGGCTGCCTTAGCTAGTTCTCTGCTAGTGTTTCTTCTTTGGCTAGCCAGAAGTCAGATATGTCCATGCAGTTTATTGGGTTGTTTTCTGGAAAGAACATGGGAAGTTAAAGTTTTGATTATTGTGTTTGGTTGTAGTCTTTGGTTATTCCTGTGTGAAATGGCAAAAATGAATGTTGTTAATGCATATTTTGTGCTCAGGGGTGGAAATGGTCATTTGAATTTCTCAGAAACCATGCTGTTTAAAGGCCTGACAGAAAGCCTGGATCTGGTGTAATGCTCTCAGAGACCTAATCCCATATTTTTGTATAAATAGAGTAGTTTAGATAAGAATTTAGACAAGCTAAGTAAGGACTGAACTTGGCTGTTTTAAGAACTGTTTAGTATCTGATTCTACTTTGTTCATACTAATTTCTTCTGCTTATTATTGATATGATTGACAGAAATGTTTATTGGGAAGTATGAAAATAGAGAGCTTGTAAACCCACTTGCCTTCAGACATTAATTTGATCTTTAGATGGGTTGGGACACACTTCAAAGAGATTAGCTTCACCCAGGGCTTTGGAGTACTCAGGACATTAGAAGGTGAAGAGACATGCCTAGGGTCTGTTGACAGATTGAAGGAAATAAAAAAGGAACTCTTTGGATTTGAAGTTTGAACTCTAGTGGTCTTTTTCAGAAGCTGGAAAAAATCTGTGACCATGAAGAAAACTCCTCTCTAGAACTGAACAGAAAAGGGAGACTTGGACAGGCTTAAATGCTTGCTAGGTGACCACCTGGATCCAATTGTTGAGTGGAAGTGGGAGAAATGCAGTAATAAAGAGACGGGTTGAGTTTGCCACTGACACCTGTGGACTTAGTTTACAAGAAAAAGAGAAGACGAGAGATAGTTGACTGGTCTAAAATTCATGACCTAGCACGGGTGAGCTAGGCTTGTTGAGTATTTGTGACGAGCCCACGGTCTAAAGGCAAGGCGACCGAT